TCCCTCGCACCTCCACCTCCACGTGACCGAGCCAGGCTGGGGACAGCAGGTGTCACACCCGCCCCGGCCCTCCCCGCCTCCGGCCGGTACCCCCAGCACCGCGCGGCCCGGCACCTCGGGGGTACGGGCTGTATCAGCCCACGGGCACGCCGAGGAGCTGCAAGGGGAGCCCCACGGGGCGCTATTCCCCGCACGGGACACCACCGGCATGCTCCTTTGTCCTGTTTTCCCTCCCGGCACCTCACTGGCGAAAGCAGCGGGCTCGGCAAGAGCGGAGCCGATGAAGAATGCCCCTCACCCCCCATCCCCCCCGCGCCGCGGTGGTAGGGCCAGCCCCGCGGTGCGGGGGCGGTTGGGCCGGGCTGTTCCATCGAACTGCGCCTTAATTCCCGGGGGGGGGCCGCACCTCTCCGTCGGGACGCGCCCGCTCCCGGCGCTCGCCGTCCGCCGCCGGTGGGATCCGCCGCGTGTCCCGGGAGCGGTTTGCGGCCGCCGCGTTGCCGGGGCGACGGGATCCGCGGCTCCGCTCCGCCTCCTGTGCCGGAGGGAGACGGGGGCGGAGTGCCGGGCAGCGGGCTTGCGGGTCGGGCTCCGCTCAGGGTCGGGCTGCGTCGAATTGGTGCCGTGCTGACCGCGCTTTCCTTAACAGCTGCCCAAAATTGCTCGAATCGTCTGGAAGAGTTGTTAGAAATGGCTTTGGTGGGGATTTTTCGTTTATTTTTTTCAGTTAAATAGCTAAACGCCATTAGGCAGAGAGCCCTTCCTTGCTTGGGAACGTGGGAGAAGTGGAGGAGGTCAGGCGTCCTGGACTGCACTGGCTCAGGGGTTGATGGGTGAGGAGCTGTAGAGAGAAGAATGGTACGGAATCAGGTTGGAAGAGATCCCTGAGACCTTCAAGTCCTGTCTTTGCCCCGACCACCACCGTGTGAACGTGGCCGTGACACTAAGTGCCGTGTCCAGTCTTGTCTCTAACACCTCCAGGGACGGTGACTCCACAGCAGCAGCTCCTCACACACCTTCCTCTGAAGCAGTGCCGGCATCCCGATTTCCTGTGCACATTGCAAAGTCCTCCCTTTCAGCACATGATGGAATAAATTTAGATTCATTGTGTTACTTGCCGGCTTGTATTCCATGGGAGGTAGCAGTGGTAGCTGGTTTGGATATTTTGAATGAATGGTACGGGTATGTAACACGTATCGGCAGCACTTTTTATGTTACAGAGGCAAAATGCCGCTCCTAAGCTATAAAATAATTCTCCAATATGTTAGAATAGCGATCTGAAGTTACTTGCTTCATTGTTAAAAAAGCTTATGTTAAGGACTTCCTGGGGCTTTTCTGAAAAATTTTGGATTAATGAGATACTAAGATGCTGACTTTAGTTAAAAGGGAACAATAAAGAAAAAGAAAAAAGAAAAAAAAATCAGGGGGCAGGCAGACAAAAGGAGAAGAAAAGAAGAGAATCACCAACATTTTGATTTGGTTTGTAAATGTATTAGTACTCCAGGGAAGAAGAAGAAAAAAATTATCTAACAGTCTTTCATTCCCAGAGTGCTTAATTGGCACCCTGCCTTAAGTGAACCAGAAAATTGCTCACTTGGAATAAGAATTGGAGAAATAACACAGTTAAACCCAGTGACTTGAGACAAGAAAAACCTCTGGTGCTGCAGTATCTTTTGGTAGTCCAGTTAAGCAACATCTGGTTCTTACAGGACACATGCTATAAAAACAGTTGCCTTCTGACTCAGTATACCAGAGTCTGTGCACTGGAAAGCAGTGATTTTTGCAATAAGAGAAGTGATTGTAATGGGATGTGTGTGGGGGGGAAAGTCAACACCCTTAAAAGTAGAATAAAAACTCACTGTTCAGAGCAACATCTTTGTGAAGTAGTTGTGGCTTCTATCACCATTTAATACCCACATGGGTGTGCATATATTGGGTAAGAAAGATGAAAGGAAGGTCCAGATAAATGAGGGCAAGGACTTCGGAAGAAAAGCTGAGAGCATGTAGAATTACAGTTTTGAAATGAGAAAATAAAGTCAGCACACCTGGGTGCTTATAAGAGCCAAAGACCATACAGGGTAGTGAGGGACTGAGCTCAGTTTGGTTGGGGTGTTTTTTTCAGTAGTGTTCACCTTCCTAGAAGAAACCTGTATGTTTCAGCACAGTTATTACTTGAGTTCTCCTTGTGCTGAGCAGGATGAGTATTGTAGAAATACACTGTAATTATTGTAAAACCCAACTGTCTCATACATATGGGGTCTCAGAATCATTCTCTTACTGCCTCTTTCTGTGAAGCAGAGACTTGGAAAAAGCCAGGCAGCCCATCCCCACCACCTTGGCAAATGAGATGAATGCTTCCTTCTGTGCTCGGTTGCTGTGCCCACAGTGGATAATACCTGTGTGAATGGTCTCATAGTTGGAAGGGTTTGTCAACAAGAGTTCAGAAAGCTTCCCCTGGAGATTAAAAGAAGGAGGCTGAGTGTCTTGATTTCTGCTGTGATTTGCTTCAGAAATCTTTCTTCTTCTTCATGGTTTGACAAAATTTAATTTCTCGCCAGACTCCATTTCCTTGAAAAATGCTGTGGGATTTCCCCACTACACCAGTCTCCTAAGGTATTTTGGCAGCAGCTTTTCATCATTGTTTCTCCACCTACATCAGGTAGATACCGAGACAAGAATGGACTGTTGCTGTTTCTAGCATTGTCTCTCAGTATATGGCAAATACATACATATATGTATTTATATATATGGTTTGACACATGATTTTCAACTATGTTAAAAGCATTATGGTGTAGTAGTATGCATCCTTCTGTTCCTGTCACTCTGTGGGGAAAAGAACACCTAGCACACACTCTTTCTCCCAGGACAATAACTACAGAGATCACTTAGAAACTGCAAAAGCCCATTCTTCACCCCGATGGTGAAGAACCTTTATGTTACAGTCCTTGTGTAGGGAAGCTGCCTGTTTTCCCAGGAAGACATTTTTGAGAATACTGATGGAAGGCTGAGAGATTGACAGGATGAAGATAGGGCTGTAGCACATGGCAGTGTGGAAATTTTGGAATAGACCCAAGCTGTTCTTGGTAGCCTAATTTGGAGCATCTTCTTCAGCTTTTTTGGCTCAAAAGTGATAGAGAATCTATAGCTTAGATGTTCTCAGAGCTGCTTTTAACTCCATAGTGTTTCTCTTGCTTTTTTTCATATACACTACAGGATTATTATTGTTCTCTGTTATATCAATAATTACAGGGAAACCCCATTGACTGGTGAATTCAGTAGACTTACTCTAGGCTCACTTGGACGTCAAATAGAGCATTTATTTTAGTTATTGTAGTGAAAATTGCTACACTGCCTGATTGTTACCTACCTATAGGTAAGGCTGTATAAAACCTAGTGGCTTTATAATACCACCTATAATGTTATAACGTAACACCTAGTGGGCTAAATGAGACTGAGTTTAAAACCTATAAACTAAAACTTTTTTTTGCATTTTGAAATTAATTCCTTGCCCAATTAAAATTTTCAGCAGTGAGGTAATTCTTTATTCCTCAGTGCTGTGCAGTTAATGATGTCCCTTCTTTTAGAATCCTAAATATTAAATACTTCCCCTATATTTTGCTGACAAAGCCGGCACTTCTTTTTCTCTCTCTGTTTCTTTGTTTCATTACAGCTAATTCAAGAGATAAAAGAACAGCCGTTTCACTGCTTTGTAAAAGGAAATGTGCTTTCCTCCAGATTGACTGTCACAGTTTCCACCACCAGGAGGCCCTCATTCCAGGGCTTATAGCTAGGCAAAGAAAACACAAGGAGAGTGAAAAGAAGTGCAGAAACTCATCCGTACAAGAGTATTCTGTTATAATTTCCTATAAATTGAGATTTTCAGAGTACTGTGCAGGCATCGTTAATTATTGCAAGTACCCTAATGTCCAACTATCATGGATACACATGACTTTTGGAGATAATGGAGTGTCTGTCACAGGTGGTACCCTTCACTGAATAGCCGAGTGATAGCCAGAAAAGTTCATGCCTCTGTCTTCTGGATGGATCTTAGTAACCTAAATAAATAATAAAATGCAGTAAAGCACAGGTTATATTTCTCATCCCTCATATGTGCCCTCTGTCACCCAACAAACATGCCTTCACTTACTTTGCCTCTGCCTTCTCCCTTTTAGTTACTTATCCACAGGCTCTTCATTCTCTTTCACTTTTCACAGCTGGCTTTTATAGTGTCCTAAAAGTTCTAAATATCTGCACTAACACTCTTTCTGATTGTTCAATTTTGCTAACCAGACCTTTAAGGAAAGGAGGAAGGAGAAATGTTTTTATCTTTATTTTTTAGCAAATCATGTACTTCTTCCCTACTGGCTTTTCAAAGCTGCAGTCCTTACTTTGGCTGAAATGTAGACTTTGTTATTCAAAAGAACACTGTGTACATGATCTCTTGACTAAAAAGTATATAAAGTTGTTATTCTTTTTTCCTTAAACCCTATTTATTTTTCTCTTCACTGCTGAGTCAAGCCTTGTATAGCTGCTTCTGCGCTTATTTCCCACTGTCATGTTTCAGTGCTGATGAGTCCAAGACACAGCTTTGCAATGCAGTTTCAGAATGGATGATAGGTGAGAACAGTTTTGCTTCTGTCAGGAAAAGCAGCTTCTGCAAGCTGTAAGTTACCCTCAGCTGCAAACTGAGCTACCCTTTGTCTTTCAAACTCAGTTCTTACCCTCCTTCCCTGAATTCACACATACATACAACATGTTTACATTTGTGTACTTTGGCCTCTCTAATATGTACTAATGTGAAAAACACATATCTTCTGCTCCAAGAAGCAGAAAAAGTGTAAATGAAGCCATGCATGAAATAGGAAAAGTTCCCAGGCCTCTGAGGAAGTTTTCCAATCATTGCTCACTATTCTGGCCACACTGTTCACTTGAAAGAGTTTACACAAATACGCAGGCAGTTGAGCCACTCACATGTTCTGGAGAGCATCCACTGCTTCCTGGCAGAATTTGCCACAAGGCTGTCCTTGGTGACTGGGAGACCAAAGGTTCAGAGAACATGTGCAGCCCACATAGCAGTGAAAGCTTGAGTTAAGCTTTATTTCACTCTGTTCCTATTACTTGGCTATTCTTTGCTTGCTTCCACATCTGTATTTCATCCTTTTCCTTGTCTCTTACTTTCACAGTCGTCTGTTTCCATGGCTCACTTAAGATGTCCTTTCCAGGAAATGATGAAACTTAAGCCTCTAGTCTGCATGTTCCTGATGAGGAGATTTGGGTAAAAGAAATACCAGGGGAAAGGTCTCAGGCATCTCTCTGTATGGGTTGGTGCTGTTATGACCCTTCACCACAGGCAGCTGCTGGAGACAAGATGTTTGACCTTTGAACTGCACTTCTGTGTTGTGTATAAGGGAGAGCAAACAGGGCCTGCATTCTAAATTTCCTTCCAAGGTGATTTCATCTGAGGCCTCAGAAGAGCATCACCTGTGCTTTGCCTGTATAAACAAACACACTTGTGTATCATGAGCTTCGTGAAGCTCAGTGTGTATAGCATGCGATGAAGGTGGGAGAGAAGTGCTAAGTATTCTTTCCTCTTCCATGTTCTTTCACCATTCCTTCTATACCTTCATTTAGGCACACTATCATCTCCAAGAAGCTACACTAACTGGGACTATTCCCAGTTGGAACCAGAAAGATGAACATACTGCTGTCACCAAAGGGAGAGTCATAAGAACACTGAGGTAAGCATTCTCCCTAGGCCCCCTCCTTAGACTCCCTGATAATCAAAATAAGAATTTTTTATCCAACCTGGGTGGTCTTTTTCCCCCCCAGGATGCCTTGATCTATAGGTTTTACTCTACACTAATTCTCTGTGTTAGAAAGGTATGCCTGTGGATGACCTCTTATCAAATGCAAAAATTGGAATTAACATGGTCTTTTAGATGATGTGGAGTCTGAAACAACATGACAATGGACAGTGTGGCCCAGAAAGTCCTTTTGGGTATCTGCTGCCAGCTCATATGCAGATGATGTTGCTTTTCAGGCTTTTGAGGAATGCAGATGACAGCTCACAAATGGTCTGCACTACTCCAGGATGTCAATTTAGAACCCATTCCTATGAGACCTGTGAAAGCCAAGTACAGTAGTATTTACAGCAATAAATGGGACATCTGGTTGGTTTTGGTTTCCTGTCCTAATTCTGTGGTGTTCTCTAGGGTAGAAAGGGATGCAAATATGAGACATATCATGACCAGGCAGAAGATGATCTTGGTTGGTCAACAACTGTCTTACAAGTAGCTGCACAGTGTTAAGTGTGTTCAGCAGCACTAAAGTTCATTGGTTCACACGGGAAAGCAAACCGTGAAAGTATAAATTTTGAATTTGCATTAAATGCCCAAGCAAGATGAGCCATAATGGCGGGTGCTCTCTCTCTGCATAAACTGAAAATAAAACATAAACTAAGTCTTGGATTCTAAACTTAGGAACAGTGTTTTTCATTCTGCTTTCCTTCCTCAGATTCCTTCAAGATGACAAGCAGTTCAGAGAAGACTGGTAAGACTGGTAGGAATGCAGGATAAAAATATATTCACAAATATGTGCGGCCAGCAAGTGGATGTGTCACAGAAGCTCAGGCTTTCATTAAAAGTATTCATTGCTCTTAAGGAAACTTTTCTTGTCTGACCATCCAGAAGCCACTCTGTCAGTCACACTGGGATTGAAGCCCTTTCTCAGCACGCAGCTCCAGTGACCCAGAGGGTGCCTCGCTTGACTCTCTCCACCCCCAACACTCCCAGAGTCAGACCAGGTTTCCTTACTGGCTGGAGCTGGGATTTCCCTTAGCAGAGTCTCAGACATCTGGATCCTTAAAATAATTTAACCATGGTGCAACAAAAAAATAGCAGCTCAAGCTGAGTGCCTCCGAGAAGGGACCCCAAAGAAAGCCCTGGATTTTTATACCCTCCCAATCTGTGTGTGACAAAGTCCTGGCTCTTCCTGCTGAGTCCTCGGCTCCTGCTGTGCCTCAGTGTCCGGTCACCTGGCTGTGCCACAGGCCCTGTGCCCTCTGTTGTGCAAAGGGTCAGTGCCAGTTCTTGGCCTCTTGCCTGGTGCTCTCACAGCCCAGAGCCCAAGCTGCATCTGACACTGCAGCTGCACTCCGAGCTACCTGCACTGAATGTGTTCCTCAATGCTCTTCATCCTGTTACTGAAACTGAAAAGTTTGTCAATTTTGGGTTTGTTGGATTTATTTATTTTTTTTTATCAATTTGTCAGATGACATGAAACTGAAATTGGTCCATAACCATTCAGAAAGACTTCCTTGAAGTCCTCAGCAGATGTTCTATCACCCTAATTTCAAACACATGCCCACAAGCACCTTTTGCACTTCTTCTGCTGTTCAGGGATTCTTATTTATTGCAGGTCATCATTCCCCAGGCAACACTCACTGCCTCTACGGTACTCACTAGCCAAGATCCAAGATCCAACAGGCATTCCCTTTAGAAAAGAAGTAAGGGAAGAATGTGGTACAGGGAAAATTATACTTAACTTTGACTTACGCACCAAGTGCTTAAATATGGTAAAGAATCTCATCTTTTTAATGGGAGGGAAAGCATGTCATATTTAGAAACAGTTCCCAGCTCACACATCTATGTAATTTGATTCTTTTTGGAAATAAAAGCAAATGAAAATCTGAGTGACTGAAGATTTAGATCTTGTCACTCTGAAAGAAAGGGAAATTGTTTTCATGGGTCAGCAGACAGACTGTTCTCACAATTCATTCATTCATTTACAGTTGAAGTAATGTGCTACTTCAGTTCCAAGATTAAACAACTGGTAGTGATAACTTGATGCCAGGGATCATGTCAGGATGTCAAGCCTGGTGTAGAACACCAGAAATTACAAGATTACAAGGAAGCTTGTAAAGAAACTGGGACAGGTAAGCCATTGTGCAGTGGGCTGCAAAAAAGGATAATCTGCCAGTAAAAAAATGGGGATTGCAATATCCAAAACAAATGTCCAAATTTGATATTTTGTGACCTAGGCAAGTGGTGACACTTTCCAAAACGCTCCGTAATAAGCATTTATTTTGCAGTCAATGGGAACTGCAGGTGCCCATCACTAAAATTTTAGTTTAATTATGAGCCCCTGATTTAATTCCTGGTTTGATATCTTGAGACCTGAATAATCTGGATGATGGAGTATAATGCATGACCACTGCAGCTGGGTAGAGAGTAACAAATTACTTTGAAATGTCTAACAGAAAACCACTGGAATTTTGGACATGTTTTCTGTTAGTGTTTTAGGAAAAAGGAAAAATACTTATTTGTCACCCAAAAAAGGGAAAAGGTCTAAGAACAGGGAGCAAAGAGAGTAAGGGTGGAGGAAAAAAAAATCAAGGGAAGGATATTTGGGCAAAGCAGCATGGATGAAAGTATGAACAGTGGGAGGAATGGTAGTGGTAAATGCACACAGGCTGCATTGAATCAGAGGCTGCGAATACTGAACCGGATACAGAAGCCTGTGATGATAATAAAACCTGCTTTTGATAGAGACAATAATTTATTTCACTACAAATGCTTTGGAACTAAACTGAATTATAGTGCTCTTAAATTGAAGTTAAGAACAATGCCTATATTATTATACACTTTGTGAATTTTCCTGTATTGTACATTGAAGCAGGGAAGGGAGGTGGGGTTAGAAGGAATAGGTGTTAAAATCCAGAGCCCTTGAAAACAAGCTGGGAGGAGAGCAAGCTATTTTCCTTAAAATCTGAAATTAGGTGTAGTAAGCATTTTCTTTTATATTTACTCATGCTGCCTATGACTTCTCTCAGCATAACACACAATTTACTCAGTTTTCAAATTGCTGATTTCTACATACTTTTGTAATGAAAGTTTGTGCTGCCACATTTCTGTCAACAAGTGGAAGCAAAATCTTTGGCTTCTTTTGACCAAGCTGAATTGAGTTTGGTTTATTTTTTCTTTTAATAGTCACTGTTAGAGCAATGCTGATGGAATCCAGGTCACTTGTTAATTTTAGGAATCGCTGTCTTTGCTTATGTTTAAGTATCATCCAGTGATATTGCCATGCTGCCAGCCACATTCCTCCTGCCACAGGCAGGGCATTGCCATTACAGCGTGTTAGAAAAAGCCCTTTAACTGGTGCTGCTTTATCACCATGGAGTGGCAAGGGGGAAACATATTTCACTAAGGAATTATGCAGGGAGTGGAATTTGGGAGAAATTAGTTTGCTTATAAAACTGTCTTATAAAAACACAGTAACCATGTGATTTTCTAGTGTCATTTTCTATCCAGGCTGGCAGATTGAAACATACAACTGTCTTGTGATTTGTTAATTTTGTGAAAGCAGTTTATGGAGTCAATAAATCTTGAAGGAAGAAACATTCCAAACTTGTTTCTGTTGGAGACAGCTGACTTGGCTGTGAGCTTTGTGGAATAATTCCATCAATTGCTTTTTTCTAGATAAGGACATTCCCTGGTGTCATAGCTATTTTGCAAGACTACAAATGCCTTCTATGACCCTGAAATTTCTCCTCCAATTTCAAAAGGAGAGGATGCTTTTTATTCCTTTTCCCATGACTACAGCATGGAGCTGTTATCACCAGTGCTGCTGTATTTTGCCCTAGAGATGGCTGTGTTTTCTTGGGGATGGGCCAGACATTTTAAAGGGAATACATGAATTAAGGCATTAAACCTAACAATATAGTAAATTACTGATATTTTTTCTGCCCTTCATTTCTCTTGAAAGAACTGAGATGTGGAAAATCTTCTAGCAAGTACCATCCTCATCAAACATGCAAATCTTCTAATTCCAAACAAGTAAAAAATAAGCCAGTGATTTTTCCAGGTACATAATGGGGAAGAAAAGGTTAAACACTATTTGTTCTACTAAGAATTTTCAGTCTTGTTGTTGTGAAGGCCTTTACTATGCTATAATACACGTTCCCCATACGGGAATCAGGAGTGTTACACACAGATGTGTATTTTTTGTCAATCCCAGACAGCTGGAACACATCAAAGCTGCTTGTGCATGTGTGTGTGTGTGCCTAAATAGTGCAAAAAGCTTCCTTAAGTTTTGGATTCACTGACATGTGCTAAGCACAGGGAATCTGGACTGCTAATATGTAGTATTTCAGACCTCCACACCCAAGATGCAAAGCTTGAAAAGGATAAGAAGGAAAGCATTTAGAAGCAGTCTCAATTTTGTGTGTTTGAAACTCGAGGACTAAAAATAGCACCTCACCCTAGAGAGGTGATGCAGTATTTGGAGAAGGATAGGGCATGATGTCATAGATTGACTTATTTCTCTCTCCTGCTGACAAAGCTGATTTGTTGGCACCAATATACACCCTGTATTACCAAAAAAAAAAAATAAAATCCTTTAGGGCAATTGCTCATGTAAAGGCAGAGTGGAAGTGGGGTTGCTTTGCACATTTCAGTGTTGCTTTTTTGTCAGTTTTTCTCACAGATTCTGCCCCTAAGCCAGTGAAGTCCCTACCCATCACCACTTAAACCTTTTTGTCTTCCTGAGAAAAATGGGTGAGAGGACATGATTCCTTTCTTTTGAAGCAGGTCCTCTCTCCTTTCAAATGTACTTGAATTCCTCCTGAAGCGATACCCAGGAATGTCCTTCGTCCAGACAATTCAGAATCCTGAGCTGATCTGCAGATGTTTTTACTTTAGAAAATGTTCTTCAAGACCACTCAGTCATTTCTAACAAATGCCCAGGATGAAAAATGGTTGTTGTTCTCTTCAGCTTCTTATCTCCAGTTTGCTTTTGCTACATCAGCAGCATGCGAGAGCTGAGGCTGGGGAGCTGTGGCTGGTCAGTTAGGAACATGTGGCTGTAGTTCAATACTGAATACAATATTGAAATCAAGTATTTGTGTGTTTTATGACTTCCTTCACTCACTGCTCTAAGAAGAGAGGTCGTGTGTGAACTCTGGTCTCAGAAACTCTGACCTATTCCTCTGTCTTGGATTGCCTGAGTGTTTAAACAGGAAGTGCTACCTTAATCATAAGTGGAAGAACAGCAGAGGACAGACAAAACAGGAAGAAAGACTGCAATAGAAAGTACCGGGTCTATTGAACCCCAGTAGGAGTGGTTATTGAGTAGGAGTTGTGCACCTGCACAGAGTTTCAGAAACACAGATATGTCCGTTATAATCACCAATTCAGCAAAAAAACATGAGAAGGAGAGATTAACAGCTTTTTTCTTCAGATATGGGCAGAAAAGTTGTTCATAAAGAACTCACTTCCAGTAAGGCTGGTAAAGAAACTATGTTAATACAAGGAAAGGAGAACAATGGATTAAAAAAGAATTATCAGGCTAATAAATCTCTGAAGTTTAAAGGTTTGAGATTGAAGAAAATTATTAGCCAGACCATTACTGAAAATTAAGGCTCTATTGTAGCAAAATCAAGGAAACATTATTTTAAAGTCAATTACAATTCCTGAGACCTTTAAATATTATTCTAATGTAAAAATAACTGTATGATGATGCACTCAATGCCTATCCAAGTTTTGAGGTTTGAAAAACAAAATGCTTCTGATCTCTTGTGGCCAATAGCCTGGCAAACACATGGAATACAAATTGAGCAAGAGTGGGGTTTTATCTGTGGTTTACATAAAAATTCAATTGGAAGCAGCAGGCAAAGCCAAGAGTAGAAAACTGGCCAAAGGAAGAGCATATTGCAACATGGTTGGTTTAAAAGGAAACTGATACCAACTGAGAGGCTAAGCTAAAAAAATTGAGCTTTTCCAAACTGATAAGGAATGTGGAAAGACTGTTAAATTCCTTAGTTTTTCAAGCAGAGGCTCTTCAAAATTTGGTGTGTTTTTAAAAATGAACAAATGTCTCAAATACCAGTGCTGAATTTCTTCCAAATGTGATTTTAAAATGTAATACATTTATTATGTATTTTTTTCCTGTAATACATCATATTTGATGTGACCAGTGAAATCTGCCATGACATAGAAATTTAAATTTTTTTATCAGCTGCACTTTAAATACATTCTTCTTTCTGAATCATGCTAATGAAAATGTTGTCCTGAGTACAAAACAGAGCAGTGTACTCGAAGTTATTATTCACCCTACTTGACAACAGAAGCATTCAGCTTCTTTGAGCTGGAATGCATTAAAGGAGAGAAAAAGACATTCAGTGCATTACGGTTTTTTCAGCTGTAACACTGAAAACTCTGCTGTCCTATGTTTGGTGCATAAAGCTGCTTTGCTTCATGTCTTTTTCAGACTGATTTTCAGTGCTAGTGTGTGAATAGGTTAAAGAAGCATTGACTCTTTTGGCCATAACAGTTAAGACAGTCTTGGCAGTACTTCCAACTTTGTTTGATTAGGAGTCAGAATCTCTTTGTGAAGAATACAGAGTCTTATGTTCTGAGGCATTGAAGCATCTTCTTGTTTTAACTCCTTTCTCATGAGTTATTGCAGTTAAATCAAGTTTTCTGACTCAGCTTCCTGCAACAAATCCTTGTTGCTTCTCTCTCATTTTTTATTGTGCACCAATGTGCACAATATTTGTACATATTGTACATATTGTATGGCTGCTGCCATACAAATTCTACCCCCAGTATTTGCATTCAGTCCCAGAGAAGTCCCTCTGGCTACAGGAATGATGACAGTCCACCAAATGGCAAAAGTGATCCAACACTATGCAGAGGCAGTCTTTCCCTGCCTCCCTCCCTCATCTCCCAGCTGCCTGATTCCATCTTTCCTTTTTTACTCTTCAGATAAGCACCAGAGGGAATACAAATAGAAGAAAAGCAAATCATAATGCCTTACTGGGTTAAAGCTAAGCTCAGGCTCACTCTGAGAGATGGAACACGGGGCATCAGTTAGGGCAGTGTAGGAGCCTGGCCATGCTCTGTACTCTGATCAGGGCCCTGGTGCCAGGGACTCGCCATGTGATGTACTTCATTCCTTGGGGAATGGCTTCCCATTTAATCTGTGAGCAGAGGATTGTTTAGTCAATTCTTCTGGTTTACTTAGTGAAATGAAGATATTCACCCATGGACTTTAACCATGGCTGTGACTGAGCTTTGATTCAAATGCAAGCTTGTCAGAGGCATTGTCACCAAATCCGAAGACTGGTAACAGTTTTCTATCAAGTAAATTTTATTATTGCTTTCTTCATCCTACTTTGATCTGATCTTGGAGGTAATTCAAATGAACAAAGATATATGCAATTGCAATTACAACTCCCACTTAGCTACATATGTGGGCAGTCTTATTTCATAATTAGTCTGTTACTTCTGTTTATCATAAAGTTAATATTAAGCTGAAGTAGAACAAGGTGCACTTATTCCAGCACAAAAATCTATGCATGTGGAGTTAGTCAAGAGCAGTTATTTTGGAATTTGCAACAGCTGCTTAGAAAGCTCTCAGAGTTTAAAAAAAGACCTGCACTTCCCAAAGTATACATTTCATGATTCAGAGTAATATATTTTACCAACTGCATTTCTGTTTTTTTCAATAGCGATTAAAATAGAGATTCTTTTTTTTTTTTTTTGGGTAGAAACTGATAAACTGTAAAAGGTTGCAGCGCCAGTTGCTTAAGCAGAAAGAAGTGTTAAAAATTAAAAAGCTGCTTTAAAAATATGTATTTTTAAAAGTATCTATTAGCATAGGTTAGAAATGTGCTCAGAGGGTAGTAGTTAGGGTTAGGTTTGGGGCTGGGTTTAGGGTTGAGAGAGTCAAAGAGCCTACAGCTCCAGGAACACTGGGGCTGGAAAAGGCACGGCAAGGTGATCCTGGCAGGGCCCCAGCATTGCTGCAGCTACACCCAGCAGCACCACACTACATATGATTTTATGCTATGTAGTGCCTATTATGGACTATTTTTTTCTTTGTTAACCCTAAATCCAGTCCAGGTCAGCTTTTCTTTGATTGATCACTGGTGAGTTGTTCACAGCCATGAGGCCAGTCATTCCAGGCCTGTGCCTTGCCCGTTACTTTTATATCCCTTTATTCCTTAGCAAATCTTGTGCCCCCACTTCTTAAGGCTTCTGCTATTGTTCCAGGCCTGCATTTCTCTGCACTGCATCATTGTGCTAGTCATAAGTCTCTTTTTCTACACAGAATAACTGTTTGTTACTTTTATTTCTATAAAATGATGGTTGTACCACACTCAGATAAACAGAAGTAAAACAAATTAGCCATAGATGTGGTTAATTATGGAAACTGCTGTCACAGCTAACCGAGGAAAAGATACAGAAGGGTCAAGAGAAGTTCAGCCGAAGCAAACCTGACAAATCTCAGTCCTGAGGCCTTGTACATTCAGTACAAAGCTTATGGCAAATTGCTGAGAGAGGCCGTATTCCAAGGCTGCATGTTTCAGCCCCAGAGGTCATGAGCGGGTAAGAGCAAGCTGCACACACTATCGCATAATCTATCATGTAAGGCCTTTTTTTTTTAGAACTGGTTACACTGGCATTTTTCTTCTCTTTTGGGGCAGAAAGAAGCATGCAAGAATTAGAGTCTCAGTTACTTTTAAAAGTAACTTTTAAAAGTAGAAGTTAGCTCAAATATTGCATATTTTTTAATAGATAAAATTGCATGGCATAGCGAAGGGTAGACAAGGGTAATGCCAAGGATAGGCAAGCACTGAAATTGTCTAGCTCTTTCTCCAAAGATAAAAGAAAATCCACAGCCTCTCCCAGCCAAATGAACATCTGACTGTTTTGAGATAGAAAATCTCTTGATGTCCCTTTCAGTCTTATTGTTCTCTATTACTAGGTTGTTTTTTTTCCTCATCTTAAATAAAAAAAATTCCTTGTGCATTTTCAACATGGGCAGTTTTTTTTATCTCCTTTGTCTTTTTGATAGATCACGTGATATATTGATGTGTGTCTCCATAAATCCTCTAACTCGGTTTAGGTTTTGCAAAGTTTGAAAGTGGCCTTGTTTTTTTCAGATTTTTTTTTTTTTTTATCATGTCATTCTTAATTATAAAGAATTTCTAATTTCACAATCACCTATAAAAATAGTGGATCTTGTGGTGCTTGGATTGCTGTCACTTACTGTGTTTGTATAGCTGACATACAGAAAACTTTTCTCATTTAGAAAAATACCCGTTCCTGAATTCTGTAGTTGTATTTTGATATTACTATTATCTTCTTTTCCAGTCACATACAATCTGTTGTGTTGACTTTACCTGACATGTCTTTCATATCAATGTGCAGAGGCCTCTAATTCATCACTTCCTCCAGAGCTGCAATGCTGAACCGTGGTCTGGACAGGACATCTTGATAGACAGAAGGGAGATCGCTAATCCTATAACATATCCTTAGTGATTAACTCAAAATAAATTAGAAGTAGCAAAATCTGTGTCTTTTTAATGCAGGATCATTCCTAATACTGTAATATTGAGTATTTTTGTGAAGGCTTAGCCTAAGGATCTCAGGACTGTGACAGAGACATAACTCAGTCTCCCAGTACCATCTCTATTCCTTCCAGTAATTCCATTTTAACAATAGAGATCTCCTGTTACTTCAGTCTGAATTAAAAAGCTTGTCTGATCTGATATTTTGCCAGTCCTACCCTGAGACCCATTGTATGCACAGTGCTTTTGCAGTTCATCTTAGCTCTGACCAGTGATGGAAAACAACTCCAACAACAAAACCCCTCATGATTTCCCTATTGCAACCATGGATGAAGTTTGTGAGGATGAAAAAAATCAGCTGATTGGGTTTTTTTTGGTTAATATTTTATGCTAATAGTTTGACTTAGTTCTTGTCCAAACAGGTACAAGATCTCTAGTGAGAGGAAATGTGTATCACAGTCTCATTCCAGTACATCCCTAGGGATGGAGATGCATTGGTTAGCAGCAGAACCTCTAAAATGGAAGAAGACTGAGGGATTCCTCTACTCACTTTGGCCAGTGCCTAATGGGACGGGCTCTGTGAGGTTCTTGAACAACACCAGCTGGAAGCTGAATGAGCAATTAATGATCACACAACGTTTTGAAGCTGTAGAATGCAATTTATTGCCCAAAGTAGCTTTTCGGAGTGGGAAATGGTCTTAAGATTCTGTGCATTCATTGACCTTTCTGAGAACCATTTTACAATCTAAAAGGATCATGAAGGGATACACAGAGTGAGGTATTATCTGCTGCAGAGCTGCTTAGCAGCACCAGAAGGGTCACCCTCTGCATGTACATTCTGTTCTGGAATAAAAGCATACTTTGTGAAGGAACTCGCCTTTAAAGGGCTGTCTGCCTAAGTGCTCTACTGGAATAGCTCTTGCGGAATAATGCGGTTTTCAAAAGCTGTGCCAGCCACTTCCTCTGTATAAACAAAGCCTTGGGCTCCCAGGATTGGACTTTTGGTACTTAAAGAAATTGCTTGGTATTTCGAATGCAGACCCCGCGAGCACTCCTGTGGTGTGCTGCTGATGGCACAGGGCCGTGGGTTGTGCTGCTTCGTTTCCTGACTTGGCTAAGAAATGTCTTGGAAAAGGTGCCCTTAACCTCCCACAGGCAGAGGATGGGGAAGTTTTTACAAGCCCCTTGAAACAGGCTGAGATGCCGCTCCAATCCCTTCTGCCATTCCAAGCTCACATAAGGGGCAACCAGGAACTCCTGCTCGCAGGAGATGTGATGTCTCCTTGACATGTAGTCCTGTACCAACTGTGCTACCAGAGGCGAGCTAAAAAGGGCAATTCCTTTCCAAATACTGTCTCCAAGAAGAGTGCAGATGTCTCGTAGAAGTGTTCATATCCTAAAAAGCACCTTTTCCATCCTTTTAAAATGGCAGATTAAGTCATGTGTATGACTCAGCCTCATTTTCTTGTCCTGTGACTCCAGGCAAGTCACTTCTCTTCCAGCTCTCTGACAGGTTTTGGCCATCCAATCCAAAAACGCCGTGTGTGCCTTGTTGAGGAAGATGCGTGAGTGGCACCCTGGAAAAACAAAAGGCAGAGCTGAGTTGAACTAAAAGCCTTCCAAACCAACGCGGTTTTAGCTAAGGCTGCCTTTTCCAGCTGTAGAGCAAGGGCAATGCGATATTCCCGGGAGACGGCGAGGACATGAGTCGATAGACCACGGGCGATGGAGCGATTGAAGACGGCGATTGCGGAGTCCCGCAGCGCGGGGCGGGGGTGAGGGGAGGCGCAGAGGCCGGG